GGCACCTCAACCAGGGGGCATGGAAGAGTTGGGAACTAGTTAGTCCTCTTTTTTCTCTCTCCCTCCCTCCCTCCTTCTATCTATCTATCTCTGTCTCTCTGTGCCTTTATCTCTACCTCTATCTCGTCTTTCATTCTCCAAGCCATATCTTTCCCCATGTGTCCCACTCTCCCTCCATACTAGTAGGGTAATTCTAATTCTTTATATGGTGAGTCAAGACTCCAAAAGGGTGAAAACAAGAACTCCTAGGCCTCTTTATGCCAAGACGTAGAACTAGCAAAGCACAATTTCTCCCACATCCTACAGATAGTCAGATATTTTAACCTCCCAGGAATTCTGCAGCACTACCTCATTTGTCATGATTTTGATTCCTTCACCATTCTCCTGTTCTCCCTGGATCCTAGACCTAGAACAATAACTGATGCATATCACACCTAGCACTCTGGGAGGCCAAGGCAGGTGTATCACTTGAGCACAGGAGTTTAGACCAGTCTGAGCAAAAGTGAGACCCTGTCTCTACTAAAAATAGAAAAAAACTGAGGCAAGATGATCACTTGAGCCCAAGAGTTGGAGGGTGCTGTAAGCTATGATGCCAGGGCACTCTACCCAAGGTGACAGCTTGAGACTTTGTCTCAACAAAAAAACAAAAAAACTGATGCATAGCAGTACTCAACAAGTATTTATTCAATGAATGAACGAATGAATACTAACCACTGAGCTAATGTTAACCTTCAGCAGCATATACACTAGTATTGGAACAATACTAGCAAAAATGGCAGGCAAATTTGCAAGTTCTTAGGGTTTTCAATATCATCTCTATCTTGACCCTCCCCTTCCCAAATAACTAATAACTCAGTAAAATTAACCAATTTGTTTTTCTGCCTGGAACAGGACAGGTAAATGGTGAGAATGAGAACAATCTCAATGGAAAACAGACTTTGGGTTAAAAATCTCAGAAGAATTCCCAGGGCCTAAAACAATTTCCCCAGATAAGATCTAGGTAGCTCAGGCAGCATCTTCCAAGACCATTAATATTTTCTGAGGTTACTATTGGGGTGCTCTCTGCTTCTCTACTTGGTGGCCTGAGTATAGTTGCTACCATTACCTATCCCCACTCTGGCAATGCTGACTAACCCCAGCCTTTGACCCCTACCTCTTATCCTGGCCCTTGTTGACTTATTGGTGACTTTTGCCAACACAGAACTGCCTATGAATGAAGTGGGATTTCTCTCTCTCACCACAAATAGTTATTTATTTATTTTACTCTCAAGAGGGTATGAATGTCTTATAGCCCTTTCTCTTTCTTATTTTTATTTTAGAGACAGAGTCTTACTTTGTCGCCCTTGGTACAGTGCCGTGGCATCATAGCTCACAGCATCCTCCAATTCTCAGGCTTAGGCGATTCTCTTGCCTCAGCCTCCCAAGTAGCTGGAACTATAGGCACCCACCACAATGGCTATTTTTTGTTGCTGTTTGGCTGGGGCTGGGTTTGAACCCACCACCCTCAGTATATGGGGCTGGCACCCTACTCACTGAGCCACAGGCGCCGCCCCTAGCCCTTTCTCTTTTAAGGAATGTGATACTGTTTCCCCTGAGATTGTCTGATGCAAGGTCCAGACAGCTACCTTCTGACACGCTGATTGTGTGTGCATGTGTGCTTGTGTGTGGAAGAGATTAACATCAACTGTTCCTCTTCACACTATGGTGACAACAACAAAGAAAACAATATCAACTGACATTTAATGAGCATTCACCATGTGACAGGTGCTTTTCTAAGTGCTTTATATGTGGCCTGCATAATTTGGCGCAGACAAAAAGATTTTAGGCAATTGAAGCATCAAGCATCATCGCTGAATGTGGGAGCAAGATTTGAAGGAACCATTAGAGTTTTATTAGGAAGCTGAGTCAACATATGAAAAGGAAAGATGAAAACATGGTCAGGTCAACAAAATATGTGATGCATATGAGTGAGAAGATTATGGCAAAATAGGTCAAGGAGCTAAAGGCAAGGAGAAGGATTAGACTACAGAGATTCGAGAATGCTAAAATCAAAAGTGATCAGAAAAAACTGATATTATCACCATTTTTTAATGTATTTCCTTCCAAGTCTCAAATAAAACTAACATATTCTACTTTGATATAGTAAATAGACCAGCTCCAGGGGCCACATTGGCTAAAATAAAATACATCAGACTCTTTTAATGGTCTTAGTGATATCTCTGAAGGGTTACAGATTATCTGTTAAATATTTGAACAGAGCATTGCTCTGGAATAGCCACAGCTCAGTCCTTTGCATAAAGTAGAGGAACCAGTCTGAAAACTGTCAACAGCACAAGCCACAGGGCAATGTTTCATCCCCAGTAGCAATGTGTTGACAAGGTGGTCTGTGTCCAGCCTGGCTGCAAAGAAGGATGGGCTCTTAGCCAAGTACATTATGAGATTCCTGATGACCAGCCAGAGAGAGCCCATGTGAGTGTATTATTCAGAGAGAGCCCATGTGAGTGTATTATTAAGTTTGGCTTGGTTGGGGCATGAGAGTCAGGCAAGGGAGGTGTGCTGAACAATCAGACCAGACTCAATTGAAAACCTGAAACCTGCACTGGGGGGAAATTTCCACCTTCTCAAAATAACCAAACTCCATCAATCATCCCGTCTTTGATCTTCATCTTCAATCTCTCTACAGGCTGCTTCTCTTTACAAACTTGAATTTTTCCTACTTTTAAAAACCACCAAAACGATCTTGCTACTCCTCTTCAGCTGGGAATATGTTGTCTGCATTTCCTGCCTCCACTTTCTCACCTCTCACCTCTTAAGCTTCTGGTGTCTTCCCATTACCATTGAGTGAAACAGTTCCTAACAACGTCACCAATGACTTTTCAGTCACTAGGTTCAAAGGATTCATCTCCTTCTGTAACTTACTTGGCCTTCCTGTGGCAGTTATCTGGACATCTTTCTTCTGGAAATTCTTTGACTCCTTGACTCCTATGATACTACATTATTTTTATGGCTGACTCTTAGATGTTATTATTAACTAACTCCAAAAGTGGGTACTGCTTTTCTCATTTCTACAGTCTTCTGGGCATCCCAGGAGTGGTTTCAATGACCTCTTGTATACTGGCATCACTCAGATCTCTACATTATGTCTTGACTACCCAGCTGCCCACTACACATTTCTCTGGATGCCCCATGGAAATCTCAAAACATCCCAAATCACTCATGACCTTATCTCTAAACCTGCTCATTCTTCATGGATTCCCTCACCTTGGTGAGTATCAAAACTAATCATTCTGTTGCTTAAGCCAGAAACCAGGGAATCATTTTTGATTCTTCCTTCTTTCTACCCACCTGCCATCCAATGAGTCCACAAGCTCCATCTCAAAATCCTTGTCTTCTCTCTGCTGGTGAGAACCTCTCACCCTGAAATCTACCTCCTCATTGGTCAGCAGAGTAATCTGTCTAAACCCAAACCGTGATCACATCCCTCCCCTGCTTATTGTCCTCCCATGGTACCCTTCCAATCAACCACCTTTTCCCTGCCATTTCTCTCCTCTCCCCTAAATCTACCTTGGGTCCTCAGGAAGTTTGGGCCACAGAGGTCTGCAGTTGGATCACAAGGATTGGAGTTTGACATAAGAGGACTCATCTACAGGCCCATGAGCAGCATGTGACATAAAGACATCTACCCACAGCAGATCCTAGAAGTGAGAGACATTAACATATTATTACAACTAAGGCAAAAACACCTAGGTTAGTCTTCCATGGTAAGAAAAGATGAAAAAGTGAACCTGTAGGACAAATAAAGGTAAGTCATTGAGATGCAAGCAGTAAAGAAATACATTCACATTCCTAAAATAAAACCAAAGCACTGGTAACAAAGTAAACAGTGCACAGGAAGTCAACAGGCTTTTAACTCCTGTTTTTTGGAAGCCCAGGACCAGAAAATAAGAGCAGCAGTTAAAACAAATGGCCACTCATCTACAGAGTAAGCGAGCAAGGCACATGCTGGGGGAAACTATAGTTTTCATGAAAGGAAGAGAAGGCAGGGAAGCCCAGAAGAGGGTCCAGACACGTGAGAACTGTCCTTGTGACAAGGTGAAGGCCACAGAAAGTCACTAAGGGGTAGTGACTCTGACCCCTGGAAGCAGGTGGGCTTCAGGATGATGAAAGAAGTATCCATTCATTGGGCAGACTCAAAATGACTCCTTGAATTATTTTAATCTCTCAAAGGAGAGTGTTAGGAATATTCTCACCCCCAAAATGTCTTTGAACACAGCCAGTTAAGGAGTTCCCAGTAAAATAGTGGTAAGTGCACATCTTGTTCTTAAAATCTAATGAACTGTGTACATACATACATCACCAGAACCTATGCCATTTCAAAAACGTTGTCCAAAAGGTTGCCAAGATTGGAAACAAGCGACCTGCTAGAGTAAATCCTTTCCACAAACAGGCCTGTGAAATCCACGCAGAGAACAACATAATGGCTTATGGACTCGTGCGGGTCCATATTTGAATCCCGACCGTGCCTGCCCTTCAGCAAATGAGAAAACCTCCCACGACTCCGGTTAAACAGCTCGCCCTACGTAGGTCACTGTGCCTTGTTAAAGGACAGACCTGGGACAAGAACCCAATGGTCGCGGACTCTGAGCGATCCTCTTTCGGGCAACCCGGTGTTCGGGGCAGCGGGTCGCCTCGCACAGCCGTGCCCCGGGCTTGGAGTGCCTTTGTCCCCCACTCACCAGAGAGCACCCGCGGGAAGTGGTCGACCGGGAGCAGCCGGGCGGGGATCCAGGCAAAGGGAGGTGGGCGTGGGGCTGGGGGACGCAAGCCGGAGCGCCCCCAGAGTGGCGCGGCCAGGCAGGGAAGGGGGCGGCCGGGTGGTGATTGGCTGGGCCGCGACAGCTCTGGGCCAAGAACAAAAGAGAGCGGGCGGCGGGCGTCCGGAGTAGGCGCTCCCGCCCGCCCGGCGCGGGCTTCGGTGCTGGGGGAGGACGCACCCACCACCCACCGCCCGCCCGCCCGCCCAGGAGCCGGGCTGGCGCGCTCGCTTTCTCCGCGAAAGCCGGTCGTGTACCTAGAAATTAACCGGCCGGCGCGGAGGGGAGGGGAGCGGGGCGGGGGGGATGCTGAGCGCGCGCGAGAACAATAATAAGATCGTGTTTGCGGTCGCTGCCCAAGGAAGAATTCGGAGCAGACGCGAGGCCCGGCGCTCGCGCCGCGCCCGGGAGCCCGGGAGGGAGGCCGGCGGCGGCGGCATGAGGCAGGCGACGCGGCGCTTGTGAGCAACGCGCGGCGGCGGCGGCGGGGACCTCGGCGCGGCTGGACGCGAGAGCAGCGAGCGGCCTGGGGCGCCCCTCCCCCGCTGCCGGGCCGTGATTTGCCGGGCCTGCTGCGCCCCCCGCCCATCCCTCGCCTCAGCCGCAGCCTCGCCGCTTCCCCTCGTCGGAGCGGCCGCTAGTCCGCCCTGCTCGAGGCCCTCGGGGAGCGCGGCGCGGTCCGTCGGCCCGCAGGGGGGCGGCCTCCCGGCATCTTCGCAGCTACCAAGGACGACCAGGAAGAGGAGCGGCTGGGATGGCGCGTCCGCGGCCCCGCGAGTACAAAGCGGGCGACCTGGTCTTCGCCAAGATGAAGGGCTACCCGCACTGGCCCGCCCGGGTGAGTCCAGCGGCCGCGCGCGGGCCCGCCCGCCCACCATTTTCCCCTTCATGATGGCGCGCCCGCCCCCTTTCCACATCGCCTCAGCTCCGAGCCCGCGGCTCGCGCCGGCCGCGATGAGGGCCGAGAGCGCGGGCAGCGGTGCGCAGAGGGACCACGGTCGGGGCTGGGGGCGAGGGTACCCGGCCGCGCCCGCACCCCGCCAGGCGGCCATCCTTCTGCCCACTTTCGAAGGCGGGCCCAGCCCCCGCGGGCCTGATGCTGCCTTCCTCCCGGAAAGCTGGTGGTGGCCGCGGAGCAGCGCCGCCGGGCAGCGGGCCTGGGGCGGAGACTTCGGCTCCCACTGGGGTCGCCGGTGGACACCTTGGGTGCGGGCGAACGTCGGGGCATGTAGGGGAGCGTGGAGCAAATGGCTGTCCGCGAGCCGTAGAGTGGCGGTGGCGGCGAATCCTGGAAAGGGGCAGTAGTCACGCAGAGGCCAGCGGGAGCCTCCTGGCAGTCATTCATCGCTGTCCTCGCCTTCCAGACTTGTTGAGTTTTTCTTGCGCGCGGTTCCGGGCGCCCTGCCTGCCCTATCATTGTCCCGGGGTACCTGCCTCCATGCTGTCCCTCGTTCTTTTAAAACGACAGCAGCTCGCCGGGGCTTGCAGGCTAGCCCGGACCGGTGGGTCCAGCCGGCTCCGGTGCCTTGCCACCTCCATGTTTGTTTTAGGTGGAAGCCCAAACCGTGTTCTTGGCCTCCCACCACAGCTCACAATAGCTCTCGCTTTCCACGTAGCACGGTTGTCGCCGGGCCTTTCTCTGGAAAGCATCTGCTTGTCATACATAGCACGAATGATTATTAGGCCTTTTGAGTGAGGAAGACACACAACACTGCCATATGTGTTTTTTGCTTTAAAATAAATCCTTTCTTAAAAATTTTGTAATAGTCGATGATTGTTTGAAATCAATAAAGTGAAAAGGAGGGCCAAGACATGCTGGAGACCACATTGATATCCTTAAGGAACAGAAACAGGTATGGGAAAAATTAGCACATAGTGCGAGCTCTTAGATGTGTTTTAGTCAAGTGAAGATAGATAGACCAAGGGAAAAAAATACACCCATTCACAAAAGGAAGTGCCATTATGGGTGGCCAGACTGAAATTTAGTAAAGTTGAGGTAATGATGGAGATAATCACTTATTTTGTGTTTGGGTAGACATGATTGTAAAATGGAAAGAATGTTAGGCCAGGAATGGGGGGACATGGTGTCTAGTGCAGGCTCTGTTATGGACTAATCTTTTCAACTGTATGAGTATACATTTCTGCATCTATAAAATAATAATCTCTAGGATCCATCCCTTCCAACACTAACAACCTCAGGTATCAAAAGAAAAAAATAGTCTTACATTCCATTAGGCTGTGAAAATAACTTCACGTTGGAACTGTAGGTTGTCTTTAAGGAAGACAATATTGCTTACAGGGGCAAGATAGGTGACTTTAAGAGTCCTTTAGGGAATCCCTGAATATATTTGCCAAGTAAGAAATAAACAGCTTTAGGTAGAGTACTATATATATACACAGGCAAAAGTGAACTAAAGGCCACTATCACCAGTCTGTCATTTACCTTGTAACTTAATGTTTTTTTTAAACTCTTACACTTGAAAAATATCTTCTGAGAATCAAAATTAATCAAATTTCATTAATTTCATTAACATGTTGCTTTGGCAGGTTGGCCACCTGTAGTAATATGTGAAACAGGAAACTGCTACAGAAGTGGTCCTAGTTGTATCTCTAATTGCATTATAAAATTCCTGGAAGTTATAATTCCAAAACAAGGCAAAGTGGAAAGTAAAATGAGGAAATAAAAATCAGGCTTTTAGATTTCAAAAATAGATAAAAGGAGAAAAATCTTTTCTATTCGCTTTTTTTGGATGTATTATTTTACTGTGAGTGACATGTTGCAATTTCCAAAGAAAGGTAAATGTAAGAAAAAGACATTGAATCCCTACTCTTGGTTACAGTGCTATATGCTTCACAAATGTTCTCCTCTTATTTTCCTTCTAGTTCTATGAAGCATTTCCCCCCATTTTATACCTAATTATAGCTTTGTACATGATATAATAATGTTATACTATTGGGAAAAAAGTCCTTCTCATGTGGAGATTAGATTCTTTATGGCCCTAAGGAATAAAACCTAAGGAACACCTTGGAAAGACAAACTTTCTAACAGTCAGAGCTGGTCCATGGAGACATGGAAAAGCAGTGTCTCTCCGGTAAGGAAGATGTTTGGTCCTAGGCAACCTCTTGTGAGAAATACAGATCAAGAGGGTTCAAAATTTAGACAAGTTGGCTCGGCACCTATAGCTCAACCGGCTAGGGCGCCAGCCACGTACACCTAAGGTGGTGGGTTCGAATCCCCAGCCCGGACCTGCCAAACAACAATGAAGGCTGCAACCAAAAAATAGCCGGGCGTTGTGGCGGGCGCCTGTGGTCCCAGCTACTTGGGAGGCGGAGGCAGGAGACTCGCTTGAGCCCAGGAGTTGGAGGTTGCTGTGAGCTGTAATGCCACGGCACTCTACCCAGGGAGACAGCTTGAGGCTCTGTCTAAAAAAAAAAAAAAAAAAAAAATTTAGACAAGTTGGATTCTGCTCTTGGCTGGCCTTCACACTCTTACCTTGTGTGTGTTCTATAATCTTTCTAAGTTTAGTTTACTAGTCTGTAATAATTCTTGACTCAGAGTACAGAGTATCTAAAAGCACCAAGTGATGGTGCTTGAATGTTCCCTTTTCCTTTTTTAATTTCTAACTTTCCCCTGTATCACACTTTTTAAAATTGGTCAGCTTTCAGTTCTTGAATAGATTTATTATTGCTTCCAACAATTTTTCATGAAAAATGTCAGGTATATAGAAAAGCTAAAAGAACTTGTGTGTTGAATACCCATGCATCTGCTATCTAGATTCTACAGTTAAATTGTACCCTACTTGCTTTGTCACATATCTATTCCTGTATCCTCACATCTCACTTCATACAGAAGTCCATCTTATTTTAATGCATTTTAAATTAAGTTGCAGATACCACTATAATTTACTTCTAGACACTCCTACATGCATACCATTAACTAGAGGTTAATATTTTTTGTGGATTCTGTTTTTTTTTTCTTTTAAAGTAAAATTTATATAGAGTGAAACACATTTACCTTGACTGTATCATTCAGAAAGTTTGACAAATGTATACACAACTGTAACACAAATACTGACCAAGGCATAGAATAGTACCAATACCCAGCAAAGTTTTTCATGCCTTTAGTAGTAGATACCTATCTTCCTTACTTTTCCCCCAGTATCCAGATGTGTTATTTTAACACAAAATAGCAGCTGGCTATTTCCTTTTTTTTTTTTGAGACAGAGTCTCACTCTACTGCCCTTAGTAGAGTGCTGTGGAGTCACAGCTCATAGCAACCTCCAACTCCTAGGCTTAGGCGATTCTCCCGCCTCAGCCTCCCAAGTAGCTAGGACTACAGGTGCCTGCCACAACACCCCCGGCTATTTTTTTGTTGCAGTTTGGCCAGGGCTGGCTTTGAACCCGCCACCCTTGGTATATGGGGCCGGCACACTACTCACTGAGCCACAGGTGCTGCCCACAGCTGGCTATTTGTCATGGAGTATATACCTAATCGTGAACATCTTTAAAAAGAGAAATTTGTCTATGCCTATAGATCAGCTAAATTAATACTAAAATAAGAGTGTGAATCCTTTTGATTGTGTACCCTTTTAGTAAAAACAATTGAGCATGTATTTCTAATATATGCAAATTTATTTTTTTTAAATTACATATTCATGTACTGCTCTATACATTACAAAATAAACATAGCAAAGAAGCTAACAGGAATGACCGATACATGTTTTAAAATTTTTGTTGGGAAAATATCATTACTAGTCATAGGGTAGGACCATATTTTTAAAAGTCTTAAATTTTGGAATATTTTTCATCTGCTTCTTACGAGATCTGACTAGTTTGTTTTTTTGTTTTTTTTTTTTGGTTGCAGCTATCGTTGTTTGGTGGGCCTGGCGCCTTAGCTACTTGAGCCACAGGCGCCGAGCCATGGCTGTAGTTTTTATCATCTAAGAAGATATTCTGGAATAGAAATGTCAGCTCAGTAGTTTTCTTGTTATTTGCTTGCTCTTATATTATTAGTAATTATCTTTTATCTTTGTGTGGGACTCTTTTTTTTTTTTTTTGAGTCAGGAGTCTCAAGCTGTTTCCCTGGGTAGAGTGCCCTGGATCATATCTCACAGCAACCTCCAGCTCTTAGGCTCAAGCAATCCTATGTTTAGTAGAGATGGGGTCTTGCTTTTACTCAGGCTGGTCTCAAAGTCATGAGGACTTTTTTTTTTTTGCTACTTGTTCATTTGCTTGAGAGCTAGTTTGGTTAGAAATAGATATTCCATGATTCTACTCAGCTAGGCACTTGCAAATGGTAGTAAATACCAGTATACTCAAAATAGTTAAGCCTAACCATCTGAATAAGGGTACTCATGTCAACTTATACATTAAATATTATTAAAATTTACTTTTTAGCTAAAAGAGTAAGAAACTAAAATAGAAACTCTACTATTTCTTTCTGTATCTTGTGTATCCCCTGAAACACGAGCACTTTGCTTATCTTATCCCTGCTCTAAAAGATGAAAAAACAATACAAACAAAAAGTCTCAAAATTCTTATGCTTTAAGCAGAGGACTTCTTTAAATTCAAAAACTCTCAAATATTGCTAGGAGAGTAAATTGATACAATCATTTTAGAAAACTGGACTGATCTATTAAAATTAAATACGTGTCTACCTTGTGACCTAACAGTCTGTTCTAGGCATACACCCAAGAGAAATGAGTACTTATGTTCACCAAAAGACTTGTATAACTGTGCTCATACATATCAACTTTATTCTGGAAACAACCCCCAAAACAGGAGAATGAATAAATAAATTTGTAGTATGTTTGCAGAAACTTGTCAGGTAAACAAACA